TGGACTGATCTTAATACACATCTGGTGCCCAGTCCCTGGCTGACAGGCCAGTCCTGGCAACTATGCAGCAGGTGCTATTGAGTATGTGAGAAGTTAGAGGAGCTGGGTTTTCAGCTCCTTGTATGTGTTCCTCCCTTGCTATGACAACACATCTGAGGTGAACAGTTTACAAGGAGGAAATGCTTCCTCGCAGTTGGAGAGGCTAAGTCTGCAGTCCGCTGGGTCAGCAGGCTCGCTTGCCTTTAGTGTTTTTGAGACAGGGTCTCTTTACATAGTCCTGACTGTCCTGGAACTCACTGTGCAGCCCAGGCACTCACTCTGTAGACCAGGCTGGCCTCGAACCCAGACATCTGCCTGCCTCTGCCTCCCGAGTGCTGGGAAGATGTTTTAAACAGTGGCTTTCCTCCTGTGTACTCTAGTCTACTACTTACCTCAGGATACAGAATTCCCCTGGGATTTTCACTGCAAGATAATAAACTCAAGCGGACAGTGAGGAGTAGGGTATTGTATAAATAGTAAGCCAAGAAGGGGATGTGGAAAACAGCTAAGGACCATGAGATGGCTCAGTGAGTACAGGTCCTTGCTGGGCAAGCCTGATGAGCTGAGCTCGATTCTGGGAACCTATGTAGAGGTGAAAGGAGAGAATGAACACTACAGGGGTGTCCTCTGACCTCCACGGGTGCGCCATGGCATGCATGCCCCAACATGCCACAGTATACACACACATAATGATAGATAAAAAATTAGAACTATAGATCGGATTCTACATTAGACTAGTAATTAAAAATAATTTTTATTTTGACTTACATGATGGAAAGAGTGATGAATACAAATACCACAAAATGAAAAGCACTTCCCCAACTAAAACTAAAACACAGAAGTGAATACAAAAGACGTGAAATTAATTATCCATGCAATAGTCAAAAAGGTCCAAATCTCAAACAAACCAAACAAAGTCCCTGGAATAGCTGTAATTTGACTTTCTATAAAAGAGACATTTCAACCAGTTAACAAAGAGTATAGCCTATACATACTATAACTGTACAGTGTACCTTTAAAATGAGGGATATATGCATATGTATAACATTTACAAATATACAAATATGTACAGTGGAACTTCACAGTTGAAAGAATATGTTGCCAGAAACCTGGCAAACAAATTTCACTTTAAAATGAAATGAACCCTTTTAAAGGCTTGCTAAAGTGTAAATATTGAACCTAATATCTAATTGGTATTTTATACAAACACATTGAGAATACAGTTCAAATTGCACTCATACATCCTGTTGTCACGACTCGGCATACCCACCCCTTCAGCAAATGGCTGAATCTCCACGCCGGTTCTGAGTTGCTGTTGAAACTGTGAGGTGGTTTCTATCTCTCAAGGCCAGGCGCTTCCTAGTCTCATGGCCAATTTTATAGAAGCAGGGACCACTTTCAGTACCCCGCTATTCTACCTGGTTAGGACTCATCCAAAGCCCAGGTTCCCACCTGAAGGAACATCTTTCTGAACCTACAACTTTGGGGTTTGTATTTGTCTTAGGAGAAAAAAAAATATTATATGGGACCAGGCCTAGTGGCTTGTGCCTGAGCCCAGCTCTGGAGGCAGAGGCTGGGGAACTGTTGCAAGTTCAAGGTCAGGCTGTTCTATATATCGAGTTCCAGGCCAGTCGGGACTGCAACAGGGAAACTCTATCTCAAGATAAAACAAAAACCAAACAACAATAAAAAACCAGGAGTGATAAAGATGGTTTTTGTTAAAGAACAAAAGCCTCTAAGCTTCAAGGTTTTCATTTACTTTTAATAGTATAGGTCCAATCTTAAGCAGTGTTTTTCAATTAATCTTTTAAACTGTGTGGATAGATGATATGGAAATTCTCAGGATGGAAAAATGAAACAAGTAGTAGGAACTATAAAAAATTAAGATATAAAATATAAAACTTAGGATCCCCACCCCCATAGCTTCCTGCATCAGGTTGCCCTGGGGACTCCTTAGGTAGCTGGAGATGACCTTGAACTTGTGATCCTACTTCCTCCACTTTCTGAGCACCGAGCTTACACGAGCGGCACACCCAGCCTCTGCAGAGCTGGAGATGAACCCAAGCTTCGTGCATGCTGGGCAAGCACCCTACCAGGGGAGCTCCAGCCTCAGCTCCGAAACCCAGTCTCTTATAATTGATCGTTTGGTCAGGTTCTCTAAGAAAACCTTCATTTGAAGAACTTCCTTTTTGTGCTCTGTTTTTAAAGTAGAAGTAGGTAGCTAAAGGACCACTCAACCTGGAGACCACAGCAGGAAAGCGACAAGGCATATGATACTTATCCAAACGGTGCACGAACGCTTACAGATGAACTTCCACACGGGTACAAAAATGGCTATTTTCAAATTCCACAGTAAAGTAAGACGGACGCTGAAGTGCTGTGAGACACAACTATGATGTGGTCTGGTGAGTTACACACAGCCCCGTTGTGGGGGCCAAGGAAAAGTAGATGGTACAGCGCAGCTGGACTTTGAGATCCCTATACCGGCACCAGCAGCAGCAGCAGCAGCAGCGCTCTGCGAGTTCCAGGGGCTGTCTGGCCACACCACAGCACCCTCGTGATGCCAGGGCCAGGCATCAGGACAGCAGTCAGGCAGTGCTGAAGTGAAATTTAAAAGGCCGTGGCAACTTCGGTTCCGTGACGACCTCCGACTTTAACACAGTCTCGTGGGAATTTGTCTAACTGTTCATATGCCAGCCGCCCGTCTTCTCCTGGACAGGGAACATTAAACATGAATACCACTTAGAATTTAACTTCGTTAATGCATCACACAGGATAACATGGTGGAGCCATGCTATTGGTACACTTTTTTCACAGTTCCTGGGGATTGGACCCAGGGCCTCATGCATATTAGACCAAGCACTTTCCCACGGAACTACACCCTCAGCCTTGTAGTGCTGCCTTAGCTAGTTACGATGATAAGAAAAAGTTGTTTTGTTTTTCTTAATTGTGTTATAGATTTCTAGGCAATGCTTAGAACAACCAGGAACTTTTGAGTTAATGTTAAGAGACCAGATGAACGGCAAGGCACAAAACAAAGCCCAAGCCCTGGCTATCTGCTGCCAACTGCACATGACAGATTGGTTTTCGTTTAGTGCATTAGTGATTTCAGTAAGTCTTATCCATGACCTCAGTGTATTGAATCTCTATGTAACTTGAGAACATTCTATATTAATTTAGTTACATTATATCATATATATGCATCATTATACATCATATCATTATGTACATCTACATGACT